CTTGTTTTCAAGAAAAGTAATGTGGGGCATTCTTTCCTATTCACAGGTGGCCAAGAAAAATACTAAGGTCAATGCTATCAAAAGCCACCGAGAGGTCCAGCAGAAGTGACAGGGACACACTCCCCCACACCCTCACCATCTGTTTCCTGGTGTAAGTCATCCACCAAGGCAACCAAAACTATGTCCCATAACCAGGTCAGAATCCAGAATGATGTAGACCTGGATACTCAGTCTCATCCAGGAATCCCTGGCGTTGGGAGGCCATCAAGTGCTCCAATGCCTCACCCAAAAATGGAATATTGGAGACTGGCCAATAATTAGCCAAGACAGTGAGACCCAGAGAGGGCTTCTGCAGCAAGGGTCTCACCAGGCCTCCTCCAGGCAGGTTGGGACCCTGCCTTGACACACCTGGCCAGTCCCCATCTGGCTGCTTTTATGAGCCAGGAAAGACAAGGATCCAGAACACATGTTTGTTTGTTTGTTTGTTTTTCGATTTATATCCTGCCTTTTTCCTACAAAGGGCTCAAGGCAGCTTACAGCATTCACCTCCTCCATCTTATCCCCATAACAACAACCCTGTGAGGTAGGTTGGGCTGAGAGTCTGTGACTGGCTCAAAGTTACCCAGCTGGCTCCATGGCTGAGCAGGGACTAGAACCCAGGGCGTCTGAGTCCCAGTCCCAGGCTCTTAACCACTACACCACACTGGCATGTTGTGGCTCTCCCATTTCTTGAACCATCAGCTATAATCCTAATGGCATCATTTCCCCAAATGCAAATGAGGTTTCTTGTGGGGCTTCTATGGGCCAATTTTTTTAGAAGTATATTGCTATGTATTTTGGGGTCAGTCTAAATTACCTTTCAGAGACCCCTTATAACTCAGTGCCTCTGATCCCAAAGCAATTCAGGATTCTTACATACACACACATGCTTCTGAACTGGTGGTTCTCGTTCTGCTAGAACAAGGGAAGGGGCCAAGTGAGTCCTTCGGGTAGCAGGGAGTCAGGCTGGAGAGAAGGAGGAGGTGAAGAGGACTTTGGATCCCTGAGGTAAACACTAGAGAGCCAAGAGAGAAGCAGAAGTCTGAAGGGAAGGTAGATTTGAACACTCATCCTGAACCCAACATAAATAAACCTTTTATGAAAAGCAACGGCGCACACCTCCAATGTCCTCCTTCTTGGAAGACTGAAGTCTGAAGTCTCAGGACACTGGAGGCAGAGAAGCATAGTGCAGAAGCATAACCATAAACCTCATGGGTAGCTGTAAAACAGAATAGTTAGCACAGAAGAGCAGAAGATTCTGCATCTTGAGTCTTGAGTTGTAAAGGGACAAAATTCAAGGTTTTTACCTTGGAGCTGGAAAGGACTGGGAGCTTGATAGTAATGTGTTAAAAGGAAGATGCCTGGTTACTTGTTTCTGTGTTTTCCAAAAATCTAAGGAAAAACAACTTTCATTCAAGAGGGTGGAATAATGATACATTATGGATCTAATTTGCAAATTAATCTTTTTCATAGCGATTGATCAATCAGGCAGCAGACCAGCACTCTGAATAAGCTGAAATTTGATTTGATACCACTCTGGTCCTCAAGCCAATTGTTGTAAGGTAACTTCATCAACTTCTTTCTGAAAGTCAGCACAGTGGCAGTGAAGTTGACAGCAGCTTCCATCTTTGGCACAAGAAAAAATGCAGGGAAAATAGGAACTGCGTCTTCGAAAAATGAAGAATAGCACTGCACATACTCTTAAAGGAGCATGGTAAGAAAAATGCATGAGGACTGGGGAAGTAAGTAATTAGATTAGGACTGGAAAGTCTCACTCATCTGTTCACCTGTGGAAAGCTAAGTATCTAGGTGAACAACTGAAAAAATCATAAATATTGTTGCCATTTTTTCCCTTTGAGACCACAAATGATTGACAAATGTAAGAGTAAATAAACATTGTGTGGGCTAATATTGTTGGCCGAGTTAGACAAGGAAAATTTATCTTCTCTGGGGCTTCCTTTTTCAGATATAGCTAGCAGTCTGGGCCAATATTATATGCACCACATTTATACATGTGCATAAACGTCTTTGTTCTATGGACAAAATTATGGCATGTTTTCATTTTTCAATGAGAACAGATGAGAATGTATCACCTTTTCTTTGAGCAATTTCATCCCTCAACCCAATACACTGTTCCTTTTATACTCTGATCTTTGAACATTTCTTGTAACTTTTGTATAAGCAAGATAATTAATTCAGTCGTTGATTTAAAATCTTTTATTTACCACCATCACTTTGATTTTAGTATTTGATATAATTCCCTTTAGGAAGAACATTTGATAATGTTCTTTCACACTGCAAACCTTTGCATATCTGCTTAGTGATAAATCCCACAGAGTTCCATGGTTGTTAATCATGAATACATAAGTACAGGATTACAATGTAAAGTTTCTAATTCTTTTAACGACTGCAACATAGCGGCCATTTTGATATGCTGCTTTCTGTATGTGCACTTACAGTTATATTTTTTCAATGCTTGAGTTGGCTCTGGATTAAACTACACTTATTTGTAGATCCACTAAGTTAACTCCCATTAATTGCAATGGATCTAGCCTAAGCAACATTGAATCCGTATCCAACCTGGACTGCAAGATGGGGACTCAGGTGACCTCAGCTCAACTGGGTGACTTTAGGCAGTCACAAACTCTCAGCCCAACTTACCTCACAGGGTTGTTGTTGTGGGGATAAGATTGAGAGCAGGAGGAGGAGAATGATGTAAGCTGCTTTGAATTATTTAACAAAGAAAAGGGCAGCATATAAGTCTAATAAAGAAACACCATTTCTCACCATTATTCATGTGCCTCATGCCAGTGCATTTCAGATCAACTGTATATGGATCAAATGCTTTTCTTTACTTTTGATCTGATTTATATGGCAGTGTATCATGGTTTATCCAAAACAGATAAGTGTGGTCAGAGTTCATCAGTGGGGCACAATCCTGCCCATGGGTGTCAGGGGCATGCTGGAAATTGCAGGACTTTTTTGGGCTAAACATTGCACAAGATTATACCCTTGGTGTGCTATTTCTGCCTAACTTCCAAAAACAAAAACAAAAAAAAAATGGTAGTGATGAAGGGAGCAATTCTATACATACTTAGCTGGAAATAAGTCCCATTGAACTCAATAGGGCTTACTTTTGAGTTGACATATATAAGATTGTGTTTATAAATGCATGAAATAGGATAATGCTTCAGTATTTTTTTAGAAAATATTGTTCATGGATTCTAGTGAGTAGCAACATCTTTCAGACCCTGATTCATCCCTATTTTCACTAGAAGTAAGCAAATGCACATAATCACTTTGAAGAATCTTTGTTTAAAATCTCTTTATGTACCCACACATGCAAAAATAATCCACACAATCAAAATCATTTTGTGAGCATAAAAACTGAATGGATTTGGACTGGACTGCATTTATCAAATGCAGTTCGATTGTTACTACACTCCTAGCTTATACCACATTTCCTGCATCTCCACCCAAACAACTCCAGACAATTTCATGGCCAACACAAAATGCAAAACATGTTGGCTGAGACAAGAAGCCAACATATGGTAGAACTGAAACAGTCATAAAATTGATTCAGCCAATGAGACCTTCTTATATCAGTGCCTACTATCTGAAGAGCACCAGGTTACAGAACCCTGGCCTACATAATTACCCCCATAATTACATAATTAAAGGAGTTATAAAAAGACCACCAGGGCCCAACTGAAAGCAACATATTCCATGGAAGGGCCAGTGTAGATCTGAATTGGAAGGAAAGGGAGCAATTCTGAAGAAGCAGCAAGACAGAGAGGAGCCATCCATCTGGGTGACTAATTTGAATCTTGTTCTTTGACAGAGGAGGCCACCAAATAGATTAAAATCTCATCAGGAAAAAAGTAGAGGGTAACTTTTATTTTTACTTCTTCCAGGTTGGAAAGGAATGTTGAATTATTGCATGTGTGAAATTTTGTGTATTTGTTTGTTGTGTGTGTGTTTGTTTCTTTTTATTTATTATAAGTCCTTGTATTGATTAAAAAATAATTGGGTTGCATCAGGATGAAACCTGCAATCCTATTATTATTTACTTGCAAACTCAGTGGACTCACCTGTGACTGCACATACATAGGATTCTGCTGTAATTTAACTGGCATTAGAGCCAACTGAAATCAATGGGAAAGGATTCTCTTGACTCAGATTTTGATTTCAGTGGGAACTAATTTAGTAAACTTAATCTGGATCAAAGCTGTAGTTTCAAGAATTGCAACTGCAGTGTTTCATCAATAATCCAGATATTTCAGAACAGATGGCAAGAAAATTACCAATAAAAATAAGAGTAACACCAATGTACCTTTTGTCCTATGTGATGCATTTTTAATAAAATCATCTTCAATTGCATATGATTGGTAACCCTTAAGCATCATTTTAAAAATAATTAGAGTTTGGAAGTATTGGCATTAGAAAATGTATGTGTCAACTGAGTCTTTAAAGAGGGAAAACAACAACAGTTTGACTGTAGTCTCAGTACAGTTGCTGGCATATTTGTTTCAACAGTATTTGAAAACAGAATGTGTGCAGTGCTGATTTTGTTTGGTAGTGAAGTACCACCAGCATTATTAAATATTATCATTTATTGGGTTCTGTTTAAAAATTAGAATGATAATATAAAAGAAAAATAAAGAGCATGCATGCTGAGAAAATTGGGATGAGAGTGAACATTCATTCTATACCTTCTTGGCAAAAATTATTTCTTGGTGACTGCCAAGTTACAAAATTATGGCATTCTTTTCTGAAAGAAACTGAGCTTTCTCTGGCATTAACATGTGCATCATTTTGTCCACAGATGGAGACATCCATTCCCAAATCCACTGGCATGAGGCAGCAAGAAGCAAGAATACTAATTGGTCCTTAGTGGAACTCATCCCAACTAAAAACTATCTTGCTTTCATTTTTCTGAGAGGGAGAGGCCACTCAACAGGATGGCAGGAGAAAATCATACTGTAGTGACAGATTTTCTCCTCTCAGGGCTCACAGCAAATCCCAACATGGTGATGGGTTGCTTCCTTTTTTTCCTGGTGATATATCTGATCACCTGTGTAGGGAACCTTGGGATGATCATCTTGATCAGAATTGACTCTCGCCTCCACACCCCCATGTACTATTTCCTCAGCAACTTGGCTTTCGTGGACTTCTGCTATTCCTCAACCATAACTCCTAAAACCCTGGTGGATTTTTTCTCTGTGAAGAAAGCCATTTCGTTTGGCGGTTGCATTGCGCAGTTGTTTACCTTTGTCCTTACTGCAAGTGCAGAGTGCCTTCTGCTGGCTGTCATGGCCTATGACCGATATGTGGCAATTTGTAACCCACTACTCTATACAAGGATCATAACAAAGGAAATCTGTGGCCAGCTGGTGGGCATCTGCTATCTGATAGGCTTCATCCATGCCCTTGCACAAACCATCTCTACCTTTAGACTTTCTTTCTGTGGCTCCAATATCATTGATCATTATTTCTGTGATATTCCTCCACTGATCATGCTCTCCTGCACTGACACGTACAGCAACGAGATTGTGCTGTACACTTTTGGCACCTTTCATGGCATCTGCACCACAATAGAGATCCTCATCTCCTATGTCTACATCATCTCCACCATCCTACGGATCCGCTCATCAGAAGGCAGGCGCAAAGCTTTCTCCACATGCGCCTCCCACTTGACAGCTGTCTTGGTTTTCTACGGAACCACCGTATTCATGTACGTCCGGCCCATTTCAAGCTATTCACTGGGCCGAGACAAAGTGATCTCGGTGTTCTACACAGTGGTGATCCCTATGCTAAATCCACTGATCTATAGCCTGAGGAACAAGGAAGTGAAGGATGCACTGAAGAGAGTCTTAGGCCGGATAAGGGTTTCTTGTAAAGTGTAAGTGCTCCATGGTTGTGCTATACATGAAAACAAGCACCAGATGAAGTATATTTCTGGCATGATTAGGACTTCCAGAAGAAGCTTTTAAAGCACCATCACGTGGCCTCATTCACAGAATAAGGATGGTATCATTTCTCCCATGGTGCCTCTTCTCCCACTGAGGAAGAACTGGTGCGGGTGAGACAAGCAGGCAGCTGGAGCACCTCGCCAGCCACCATCTCAGTCCACATTTCACTGTGCACAAGTTTTCCTCATGTTGTTGATTAGAAGCTGGATAGTCTAGATTTTATTATTACTTGATACTCTGAAACTTCATGGACATGTTCCATTGTTATTTGTTCGTTTGATTATTTACTTTCTGTTGAGTATGTTGCTTCTGTGACTGTGCTTATCACTTTGAAATATTATCTTCTTCTTGAATTGTATAGCTCTGTTCAGAAAATAAAATAAGTCAAATTACAAGAATAAAGCATTGTCAAGATTTATATGGCCATAAGAGGTTGATTCTGTGGGTAAGGAGACTAGAGGACAGATGAGTTCAGTTCACAGCTGAGAGCAGGGTTACGCAGTGTTTCAACTCTGGCTCTTTCGTGTCTCGCCACTACCACTGTGAACTGTTGCCGAGATGACTTACACGCAGCATGGATGTCTGTGGAGCATCCCCATCAAGAGTTTTACGCAGATTTCAGATAGAAAGTAGCTTTTTGCTTTATTGAGAAATCCACAAACTTGCCCTAAAGCATTATTGAGACAGCAGGTCTACACGTGCCTTCATCCTTGGTAAAAGTTACAGCTCAGCTGTAGTGGTGACCTGGATGGGAATGTGACCTAGACCTGTGTTGTGGCTGGATGTGTCCCACCAGTCTGCCTCATCAAGGCTCTTCTAAGGCTTCATCCTGTGGTGGGAGCTTGCTATCTTTCTACATTTCATGGTGAGGAATGGAGAGAGAACCTGTCCCCTCTGATCAGAACGAAACAGTGAGGATAATAGCAGTTATACTGCATAGTATATTCCTGTGTTAGCAAGACTGCTTCTCTGTGTGGCCCTGAGAATACAGCTTCTATATAGCTCGAAATGCCTGATCCTGTCTAATATTGGAAGCTAAGTAGGATTGGCCCTGGTTGAAATCTGGATGGATGACTTCAAATGTTATGAACCACCTAGGGAACATTGGGTATAGGTGGTACAAAAACACAATATGGTAATAATAGCTTGTAGTATTTTAATTCTTATTGTGATCATGGTTTTTATGGTTACATGGATTCTCTCTTCTTAGTCATCACCTTCAAGTCATTTGATTCGCTGTGAGAGTTGTTGCTGGAATAGGAGGATGTGGGTCCAAAGAAGTACATCTGTGTTGCTGTTTATTTCCCTAAACACACACACACACACCCTACCCCTTTGAATGTTTTGTGCTTCAGTTTTCTTTCTTTTCTTTTTTCTTATTTTATTTTATTTTTGTACAGTAGAAAAACAAAACTAGTGTCATGGATCTTCTTGAAGCAGTATTTTATATTGCATTTTATTGCACTTTATGTACAGACACAACAGGAGCAACTGCAGCAAGCGCCCTCCCTAACCTTCGGACTACAATTCCCTTACTGCTGACCACGCTGGCTGGTGCTGAGAGGAGTTGCGGGCCAAAGGCTCGGGAGGCCAGGCGGTTGCCTCCTGCTGCCCTGTGGCACAGTGCCCTGCTCACAAATGTTGCAGGAAGCCTGGTTTGCACAAAATACCCTGTCCTGGAGCATTTATGTAATGAAGCTTCTTTCAGAGGTTTTAGTCCCTTGCATTAGCAAATCAGCAAGCATATTTACAAAATACAGTTTGGGCTCCTTACACTTCCCTTTAAACATCGCAAAGGAAATTGTGCTGACAGAATGGGTTGCTGTGCAGTTCGGGAAGCACACACTATGGGACATTGTGAAGACCTCCTAAAAACTCTCTTTTTCACTGATGGCTTCTCTGCCCTATAACCCTAACCCTAACCTGTGCTGTTATAAAGAAATTAGTTTTGTTGATTCAGTTTAAATTGCTTTCAGTAATATCTTAATATTGTATTTCAATATGATTTTAATATTGTGTGTGAAGCTGAAGATTTTTAATATCTTGAGGTATATACATATTGTAAGCAAATAATTCGTCTTTACCTGGTAAGCAAGGCTGGATTGAGACATGGGCCAGGTGCTGTCCAGATCTCATAGTCTGACAGGGTCCATCAGCATCATAGGTTTATCTCAAAAATGTCTTGTGTGTCAATTATTACAGCATGTTACTTCTACCATGCCTTATAACGCATCTGCTTTTACTGCTCCGGTTGACAAAAAGCACAGAAGAGAGACAGAGGGAGACTCTTTTCAATTAAAACTTGGCATTTGGTTTATTTCAAAACCTTGAATCACGTGCTTGCATGCATTTGAACAGAATGTGCTATATTTTCACATAGTGCCATAGAAACAGAAAGGAAGCAAGCTGCAACCAAGAAGCAGCTCTCTTTCACTCTGCTCACCCACACATTGAATTAGTGTCCTACATAGCCTAAAACAGCCAGTATGTATACCAGCCACAGCCCCCTGCTGGCCGTGCATTCAACAGCTATGTAAAGGGGATCTCTTGACAAGCACATATGTAGGTGCAGAGGGCCCTTCCTGAAGGTTGCCAAATGTTTGACTAGCAATCATAGTAGCCCCCTCACACATTCTTTCAAGGCATGAGAACATACATGTGAACACTCCTTCTGTCCCTGGGTTTCAGCTGATGTTCTATCTAGGAGGTTTTCTATGCAAGGCTCCTATCGGGCATTCATCGTTCCCTACTAATGGTTGTTTATGGATTCGTTAGATGACATTTGTGACCCCCTGGTTTCACTACTATGCCTAATAAGCACTATTTTTAGAGCAGGGAAATGTGGCCTGCAATGGTGAAAGTGCAAGAAAGCAGAGTTTTCTTTTGTGTATTTGCACATTCCTGCTACGCCACAGTGCCACCTAGAGGTTATGTAGCAAAAAACAGGAAAGAAAGTGTTCTTTGTGCGGTGCTCAGACCCCAATTCCATGACAAACTGAAAGTAGGTAACAGTGAATTAACAGTCAGTTAACAGCCTCCTGTAGAAAAGTTTGAAGACTCCCGTTTTTCATGTTGGATTATGAAAGCTTGTATGCTATGCCCTAACCTTCACCCAGTTTGACTTTGAAGTCAGCTCACCACTGAACTCTAATGAAAGGATGAAAAGTCCTAAGACAACTTCTTATCCCCGTTCAAGTTCCTCACAGAATGCAGTTCTTGTGTAAGAATCCCTTTTCAGATAGCCTAGCATGGATGTCAGCAGCTGGGAATAACAGCAGCTCTGCTCCTGCATTAACATAAGGAGACTGGGGAGCAAACCGCTGGTCCCTCTAGTCCAGCATTCTGTTCACACCGTGGCCAACCAGCTGGCTGCAGCGTCCGACAAGCAGGATATGAGTGCCAAAGCACCCTCCTGCCCCAGCTCCCCAGTAAATGATGCATCTAGGCACACTGCTTCTGGCACAGGTCAGTGCCTTACGTGGACAGAGTTTAGAATCAATTGTATGCTTCCAAGAAAGCATAGAAGATAGTGCTCCACTAAGAACCTTGTGGAAGATATTGAATAAGAAGACGTTGACTGCTAACTTGACACCCAACTTGTTCTCTCCCTTTCATTGGACTCAATCCTTCTGTCTTTGGGTATGTTTCCCATTAAGGCTTTCAGGGATTCAGCACAGAGCTAGCAACAGGTATGATTTCACTGCGATTTCACATGTTCATCTGCAAGTACAGAATGGAGGAATTCTGTTGATATTTTCAACTAAGCCTGCATTTCAGTAGCAGAGCTCCTAACCTTCCTAAAAACCTGACACACATTTCTGGAAGTATCTCTGTGAGCTTGCTAGATGAAAGCCGTTGCAGAACACATATTTCATAAAGGAGAATGGCCAACTGAATGATATTTAATTAGCAGTGACCAGGCTTTCAACTGCACCTGCAAAGATTTACACTGTATCAGTGCAATTAGCATTCAGCCCTTGAGAATCAGTTTAATCACTCGGTTAGATTTACACTACCAAGAATCAGGAGATTTGATTCTTCCGGGAAATTCCACATGAAAGAGGTCTCTGTGAGCCATTATAGCAATATAACTTATGCCTCATTATCAGGAGTTTCAGGATCAGTCTCTTGAAGGCACCTAGAAATCAGTCTCATTTTGATCAAGAGCAGGTTTCCAGAGATCTCCAGCAGTGGTAGCAACCACTGTTTTCTATGATCTTTAAATTACTTCCATGATTCATGAAGGCTGTAAAAAGGTGAGTCAATATTATATTTATTTAAATATGTATTAGCATAATTTCTTTTTCTTTTCTTTCACTTATCTATTTATTTACTCACCCTTTGCAAGTCGAGTACCAGGCATGGGGAACATCCTGCACAGAGTGCTCCTGGCTACACTACAATATGAATGGGCTGGGGAGAGATTTTAGCCTGCTTTATAATGTATAGAAACCATAGAGCCATTTTGATGAAACCTAGAAATAAGGCACCGCAGTTCAATTCGTGCATTTGGCTAAGCTGCCAAAGCATAGCCAAGACATGGCACAGCCCTCTCTTTTCGGCTATGCAGATGTGATTTGGATCATCCCTGTGAGCACCCAGTTGCACCGGAACCCAGGAAACTGCCTGCTCCGGAGTCTTTCCCGTCCCTTCTTCAGGATGCCAGGGACTGTCCCTGGGACTTTCTCAGGCCAAACATGGGCTGCAGCACTGAGTTCCTGGGGGACTGATTCACATGACCTTTGCTGCTGCCACCACCTTCAAAAAGTTCAGGAAGATTGCATGAATTAGGCTTCTGCTTGCAGACAGAATAGTTTGCACTAAAGGCCTCCTCTACATACAGAGGGGAAGGCGCTTCCTCTGCCATTGCTGTGGTATCACATCTGCCTAAACCAAGACTGCATTTTCAGCATTTTAACCCTTATGCTTATTATACTTACTGCAATGACTTAATAATACACTGTTACTTAGTATTTTGAAGCTTATTCATTTACACCAGCCATTAGGGACGGTAAGGACAGCCACTTCATTGCAAAGATCTTTCACTAAAGCCATATTTGTAAATGAGCTGTGTGTGTGTTACCACCATGTGTCAAGGAAGGTACACTGTGAGCCCATTCTCAAAACTGGATTCCATATTGATGAAGCAATAAGGAATTGATTCGGCAAGGGCTTGATTCTACAATTGATTCTCCTCATTTATTTCATTATTTCCATGGAAACTATAGTTCCACATAAAAGGGTGCATAAAGAGGGAATCACTACTTCAAAAGAGTCCTTCAACATAGAATTGAGCATGTTATGACTGAGATAGAGAGCATGCCCTCACTATTCCATTTTAATCTGGCTTAAAGACATTGTTTCTTACCAGCATATCTTTTTTTTTCTCTTTCATAAACTACAGATCAAACTTCATCAACAAACTGAATTCTACTGTATCAACAGATACAGCAGTACCTTGGCTCACGAACTTAATCCATTCTACAGATTAAGAACGTAGAACAGAATGTGGCCATCCCCTCCTCCCACCCTGAGCACGACCAAAATCGCGCCCATGCAGGGAAGACAAGCACGATCGTGATTGTCACCCAATGTGGAGTTCTCAATCTGAGGCAATTTTTTTCTGAAATTTCTGTTCGCGACCTGATTTGGTCGTGAACTGAAGCGTTCGTGAGCCGAGGTACCACTGTAATAGGTAGAGCAGGGAATGGCTGAAGAACACCACACAAAGGTGGCAGAGTTTGTGCTCTTGGGATTAGTGGACAGTCCCAGAATGAAACCATTTTGCTTTGTTGTGGTATTAACAATGTATTTAATCACCCTTATTGGGAATCTTGGGATGATCGTGTTAATCAGAATCAACCCCCAACTCCAGAAGCCCATGTATTTCTTCCTCAGTCATCTGTCCTTCTTGGATTTTGGCTATTCATCTGCTATTGCTCCTAAAATGCTGGAACATTTTTTGGTAGAGAATAAAACCATTTCATACATAGACTGTGCCACACAAATGTACTTCTTTGTCTTTTGTGCAAGTACTGAATGCATCCTACTGGCAGCAATGGCGTATGACCGCTATGTGGCCATCTGCAACCCCCTCCATTACACTGTCACTATGTCCCCCAAAATATGCTCCCTGATGGTGGCTGGGTGCTACTTTGTTGGTTTCATCAATGCCTTGACACAAACAATCTCCACCTTTATGCTATCTTTTTGTGGTTCTCATGTTGTCAACCACTTCTTTTGTGATGTCCCCCCTTTGTTAGCGCTTTCCTGCACTGACACAGGCATCAATGAAATGGTGCTCTTTGCATTTGCCACAATCCTGGGCATTTTCACTTCAGCAGAAATTGTGGTGTCCTACACATACATCCTGTCTGCAATCATGCGGATCCATTCACCGGAAGGGAAACAAAAGGCTTTTTCCACCTGTGCTTCACACCTGCTGACTGTTGCGATCTTCTACGGAACAACAGTCTTCATGTACCTACGACCGAGCTCCACCTATTCCATGGACCAAGACAAATGGGCTTCCGTGTTTTACACTGTGGTGATTCCCATGCTGAACCCCTTGATCTACAGCCTGAGGAACAAGGAGGTGAAAAATGCCTTGAGAAGGATGCAAACACTGGAGCTAGCTTTCCTGAGGGGCATGAGAAACTTCTAAATACTGACAAATGGGGCCATTTAATCTAAAGTGTTGACCTAATCCACTGCTCGTGCCTACAGTCCCTACAGATCTGCTCTGGGGGATCCTTAGTCAAGATGGCATAGATGGCTGCTCAAATCCAAAAGAGTCAGAAAAGGCCAAAGAAAATGAGGGGCAAAAGAAGAATAACTAAGTAGGAATCTATTGATATGATAGCAGCAACTAGCATATATAGAAAATCTGTGCTATACATATTAAATTGGTACAAGTAAGGGATATTCTCCTGCCATGATAGGATTCCTCCAACACCTATGAATGGGTCATGGATTTGCACAGAATAAATAAACCTGGGCTACTGTCATGTTTCCAGTCAATTCTGAAGGATATTCAGAATTGACCTTTTTATGAAAATTCTCCTGATCCCTGATGAAGAATTCTTAGCATCCCTGTGAATCTGCAGTGGCCAACATTCATTGGAAAAAGTCTGTGATACCAGTTTAACTTTGTAATGTAGGTATTAGATATGCAAAATTAATTATGCCCCTTTGTTTCTGGTGAACTTTTAAAATATGAATTACATTATTATGGGATTACAGGTCGGGCTGGTTGGTCTCCCATGATCCATTCCAAACCAATGATTCTTGACTTTAAGATTCAGATCAGTGAGTACAGTTTGCTTGAGATAATTCAGGTCAGAGCCTTGGACATGGTAATAGTTCTGGTACAGTAACCCACCAACTTGCCTTCATTCGGCTGATAGCCCTCAATAGCTTGCTAAAGAAATACCTTGGGGCTATTCTGGAAGGTAGAGCCATTTTGGAGAAGGGAGGGGGACTTTCGTTTCCTCCCCTTTCTTCCAACTTTGGCTGGGAAATAAGCAATCAAGATGGTGTGTGAAAAAGTTCAGTCTGGAGTGAAGGAGACTAAAAAGACAGAGAGCAGAGTTGGTTCTGGAAGCCTCTTAGAATGCTGGCCGTTTCCTAGCAATCCAGTGCAGAAACTTTGCACTTTGGTCATTTGTTGGGGTGTTTAATGCTGTACTTCCACCTATGTTCAACCTATATTTTTGTGAATAAAAGCAACTATTTCAAAACTTCAGTAAGCCTCCAATGACTTCATTCCAAAGGAAATAAAAGCAGATAAGTGGTGCATCCCTGAACCATTTTGCTTTTCAAAGGAGTGCCTCAGTGTTTTAAATACACATTATACCTCCTTAGCCATAAATTACCATTCCCCTTGCAGAGCAAGTAATTCCTATACAGTATTTCAGGAATTCGTTTTTATTCAGCTGTTCATGTTGGGGGGAAATCCGCAGTTTCAAGTGAGTTCAGTTGTCATTGCAGAAGATGGACAGCAACTGAAACTGTGCTGTCTGAACTCACGATGGAGTCTTCAGTGCCTGTGCTGTTTGTCCACCAGAACCAACTTGGAGGCTACCAGCAAATCAGAGCAAACTCACATTGTGAAGGAGCCTCCATAAGCTGCTTGAGGTGAATGGGCAAGCAGAGGATCCTCCTTCTTATGACTTTGATCTGATCATCATCAGAGGAAGTTCAGGTGGACCTGCAGCTTCCAAGGAAGCTACCAAACTTGGCAAGAAGGTTCTGGTTCTGGATTTTGTTGCCCTTACTCCTTTGGGGAGGAACTTGTGTAAATGTAGGCTGCAAACCTGAAAGCAGATGCACTAAACAGCTTTGCTTGGGCAAGCCATCAAAGAGGCACCCAAGTTTGGTTGGCAGTTGGATGAACAAGGTATAAATCACAGGTGGGATATGATGAAGGAAGCAGCTCAGAATTATATTGACTCTCTGAAGTGGGGATCCAGAGTGTCTCCCCGAGAGAATGCAGTCACCTATGAGAATGCTTATGAAGTGAGTTCAAATCTCTAAGGATCTAACCTGAAGATCCTGTAGTAGACTGGCTTTTCCTGAGTTTCATGGATTCCACAGACTTGTGGACCTTTTTCATTTGCAATATTTTTATGGAAATTTAGGCATACATTTTTTTTAAAAAAAAGCACCCAAATAAACTATGCATGGCCCTCATAAGCTAAAGCCTGAAATAGATATTTTCGGCGATTCACATATTTGGGAAGATTTGTCAGAGTGCAAATGTGTACAAAGATGCATTTGTGCAAATGTCTACAAAATCTGATTCCATCAGTGGGTGGATGACAAAACCAAAGGCACCCAACCATCTGTGAAGCATAGATGCAATGGCTTTCACAACACCCCTTGCTGTAGCTATATTTGCACTGATTAGACTCAAGGATCTTCATTTCCAAATGTATAGCTATGCTCCACGAGGCTGGTTTACTGCCTGGAAAATACACACTTCAGTCTGGTGCTGCAGTTCTCTTGCCTACCGAGTACACAACTCACTTCTGTGCAACAAGGCTCCTGTCCACAATACCTCACTCCTGTGTGGCAGATCTCTTGCCAGCAAAAAATGGAACTGCAACAGCTCTCTTGCCTGCAAAATACACACTAGAACCAGTCAGGGCAAAGTTTCCCCATCCGTGCTTTATGAAGTGGGTCTATATACCTTGTCACAGTGGGGAAAGCAAGCCATGGAGGATTGTCTCCCCTGTCAGGTGCACTAGTCATGTGCTGGGGAGGAGGAGCTTCCAGTGTTACATGAACCCAGTCAGGGTGACGTGATCAATGTTTGTTACCCATGGCACCATAGCAAGGTTCACAAGCTACACTGCCAAAGGCAACAGTGCTAATCCCCCAGCTCATGACCAGCACTCAGGATGGTTAACAAGCTGGTGATCGTGCAAACCAGATTAGTAGGACTTGATTCAGGAGCGGGGGGGGGGGGCGTTTTCCAGTCTCCCTTCCTGGAAGAAGTTTTGCTCAGAGCAGCTGAGTATGTGCACAGTACAGAAGCTTGCCATCAAACGAGCCAACAATTTCACATATATTTCTACAATTCAAGTGTAACAGCAATGTTAATCCTGGGGATTTAGCATAGATTTCCTACCAGGGTTGATAGAAAAGGTTTTGTTTAAACTATCGTTAAAACAGCGGTGCAAAATGCTTGAAGCTGTTAAAAATTTAATTGCCACTCTGTCAGTACCCCTGCGAGGTGGTGGTGTCACAGCCTTCAGAGGTTATGTCTCAAGGGCTAAAAAGGTGCATATATAGCATTTCCCTGCATAGCAGCAATCTGCACATTCAGAGAAGGAAAGTTACTGAGCCAAACATAGGTTGAATGAGCTTATCTTTTTGTTCAGAGAATTAGAGCACTTCTATTCTCCAGCTTAATGGGCTAAAATGGAGCCCCTTTATGGAAAGTGAAGCAAGCCCTATTCAACTATTAACTCAGGGTCTTAGTGAACCTGCAGTCTCTTTGCAATACGCATAGGAGCAAAAATGATAAGTTGGCTGAGATTAGGGGGAAACGAACAGAGACATTTTGGAAATGGAGGAGCTGCAGTTCCAACAACTGAAGCAGAAGTACTCCTTGTAGACTGAGTGCTGTGCTGAAAACTGCCCTTTAATTTTCTAAAAGTTTTTTCACCTGTAAAAGAGGCTTTGTAGTGCAGGAGCTAGGGTTTGGGTAAGGACGCATTTCTCCATCACTCTGCAGGCTCCTCAGCTGCCTACACTTCCTGATCTGGGCCCGGGGGGTGGGGGGGGGGGAGAATTCCATCAGGGCATCTTCCTCTGAGCCTTAACTAAAGCCCAGAATTCTGGAGATTGCCACAAAGCTGAATATACAATGCAAGACAGGATACTAGCACACACACTCCTCAGCCACCTTGATCAGGTAAGTGCAAGAATCCTGAAAATTCTGTCTCCTTCAAAATAAGTAAATAAATAAATCTGAAGGCAGTGTCTTTTCTATAAAAACGGAACATGCATGGTTGGAAAAGTAACAAGACTTTCCTGGATCAGACCAATAGTTTATCAAAGCCTCTGACTGACCTCTCATGGGTAGATGGGGAATTTAAGAGCGCCCAAGCACTGTAGTTGTCTTCACTTCCAGTTCGCAGTAGTCTGAGAAAGCCTCAAATCAGTCTATGTCGTCTTGGCTAAGGGGGTAGTCCTATGACCCCTACAGAGCACTTGATGGGCCAGAGCATAGTTTGGATTCCCAGATTTGAGGTTGGAGTCAGCAGGAAATGGGAGCTGGGAATTTGGGTTTTGTTTCCCTTCCCATGGGAGGAACCATGCCAAGTTGGGAAAGCAGCCCTGAAAGGGGATAAAGGGGAGTGTTTGATAGGGCAGGAAGGGAAGGAGATAGGGACAGCCAGGATGAAAGTTATCCAGATTCCTGTCTTCCCCCTCTGAAATGCTCCAGCTAAATGAGCAAAAACTCCTGTCTAGGGTAAACACGCAGGGTGGGAGGATGGGGTGGGAAGATCCCTTCTGCAAGGCACTCTGCCCATCCTCCTACTCTGCATCGGATGAACTGTGCCTGGTTATACCAGCGCAGCATGACACTGCGTTGTGATCAAAGCAGTGATCAGCCAGGGTCACAAGCCTCCACACCATTCAGGCAGGCTTGCTCTGGGTGAAACAGGCACAGGATTGGCACAGCCTTTTCATGGTACGTGAACAGGAAAGCAGAAGCTCCACTCAGTCTCATCAGGCCAAGCACACCAAGCACACTGTAGGGAACGTTCGTGTCCTCCAAATGTTTTTAAATTGCAGCTCCCATAACCCTGATCATTGGCTATGCTGGATGGGATTCACGGGAGTTGTCATCTCAGATACCTGGACAGCATCAGGTTGCCTCCCTCTGCTGAAGGGGATCTCAGTGAACTGTTTTGTTCTGTTCTGGTAGTTTTAAAAAATTATAATGTGATGGAAACGCTGTGTTAAGGGCAACTTTTGACAAGTATTTCTTTAATCAATTCTTATTCCAAATAGAAGCGAGGAAATAATGGTTGGAAGAAGGCAAGCATGTGCTCTTGAAAATATTGTGCTGTTCCGCTTAGAACTTCAAAGAGACAAATCCTCTGAGCTGGATAAAAGTGAGAAAGAGGCAGACTCCACCATGATGGCTTTGAATGCTGTCCTGACTTCACCTGCAGAGTGGTGACAAATTGTTTAATGTGTGAATAGTTCATATGTTAACTTAGTAAAAAAATTATGAAAGGGAAGTATAGAAGCAATGGCCCATGTGGTTTCCTGATGCAGGCAAATAGGTTGGCTTCAGTGGCTGACGTATACCAGTAGAGAGTTGGTTCAAAGGGTCTTCTTAGACCACCTGTTTCTAGCTCAGTTGCCCTGCACCTTTGGATTTGCACCCGTCATTGCCTCGCTATCAAGGCTGCTGAACACTTTTTCTGAGTCCAGTTTATTTAAAAGCCTGCTGCAGTTCTTTCTCCCCAAAGCCCACTGAGCTCTTCCATCTGGAATGTGCCTCACTCCATTAAATAATATATTAGGAAGAGATGCCAGGGGACAATAAAACCACCGTGGCCCATTTTGTTCTCTTGGGCTTTGTTAGCAGCCCAGCAATCCAAGTTGTCCTCTTTGCGATCTTTCTGACTCTTTATGGCATGGTTCTGCTGGGGAACATTGGCCTGATAGTTCTGATAAGAACCAGCCCTCAGCTCCACACTCCAATGTACTTCTTCCTCAGCAATTTGTCCTTGGTTGACCTATGCTATTGCTCTGTGATCGTCCCAAAGATGCTGGCCAATTTCTTGGTGCAGAAAAAGGGCATTTCCTATGCTGGCTGTGGACTTCAGTTTTACTTCTTCTGCACCTTTGCTGACACAGAATCTTTCATCCTTGCCTCAATGGCATATGACCGGTATGTGGCCATCTGTAATCCACTGCTGTACACCATTGTCATGTCCCCAAGGCTCTGTATCCTGCTGGTTTCACTCTCTTACCTTGGTGGTACATTGAGTGCCCTCGTCCACACATGCTTTGCCTTCCGACTGTCCTTCTGTGGCCCAAATGTCATCAACCACTTCTTCTGTGACCTGCCACTGCTTCTGAAGCTCTCCTGCTCAGACACTTCCCTCAATGAACTCCTGCTCTACACCTATGGGAGCTCAGTAGAACTCATGTCTTCAGTCATCATCATCATCTCCTATGTCCTCATTGTCATCTCTGTCCTCAAGATGCACTCTGCTACAGCAAGGAGCAAGACGTTCTCCACCTGTGCGTCTCACCTGACCTCCGTCATCATCTATGAGGGAACACTCCTTTTCATCTATTCCCGCCCCAGTTCTTGGTACTCCCCCACTTCTGACAAATACATCTCTGTCTTCTACACCATCATTGTCCCTGTGCTGAACCCTCTGATCTACAGCCTGAGGAACAAAGATGTGAAAGATGCCCTGAGGAGAAGAGTAGGCCCTAAAGTCTTAGCTCACTAACCCTTAGGAACCTCATAACTGAGGGAAGATGGAAAGAGGTTTGCGGGCAGTGGGGGGAGGCAGGGAGAACTACACTGAAATGTCACACAAGTCACCACTTCTGGGGAAAAATATGGAAGTCGGTTACTTTACCTGGTTATCAAATTGAGAAAGTTGACAGGATCACAGGGTCATAGAGTCTGTCAGGAGAAATGTAGCCTTGAGCTTGTTCCAAAACTGGTTTCAGCTCATAGGATTGTGGTTTGCCTCTGCAGTAATAATCAGTGCAACAAATGCAACTGATTTCCACGCTGTGTTAAACATCTAGGACAGGGGTCCTCAAACTTTTTCACCAGGGGGCCAGTTGAAAGGTGCCGGTGCCGGGTGAAGGCCGGAAAGGTGGTGCCGGTGGGGCGCGTGGGCCGGTGCCGGAGCAGGGCGTGCGCAGGCGCTGAGGTGGGGGCAGGCAGGCGGGTGCGGTGAGGTGAGGTGAGGTGAGGCAAGGCGGGGGCGAGCACGTGCTGCGATGCAGCAGCAGGCGCGTGATGAGGCAGTTTGCTTGCTTGGAGATCATTTTCTCCAAGCGAGTCCAAAACCATCTCCGAGCAAGCAAGCCGCCACCTCACCACACAGGTGCACATGCAGCGCATTGAAAACCTCTGAGGTGGGCCAGATAAGGGGGGGGCAACCCCCCCCCCCCCCCCCCGCTGTAGTTTGAGGACCCATGATCTAGGAGATGAGAGCAGGAAAATGCCAAGCTATTCAAGGGACCATGAGGAGAACCTTTGTGAATGAGAAAGGAGAATGACAACAACCCTGTATTCAGCCCATTCCACTTGTATTCCAGAAGGATTTTACTTTTCTAGGCCAGCCTTCCCCAGCCTGGTTCCAGTTGGACTACTGTGTCCATCATCCCTGGTCATGAGCCCTGTTGGAGGAGGCTGCATCTAAGCTGTGTTACTTTCAGTGGTGGGGGTGTGGGCTGAATGTCAGGCCCACGGATCCAGTACACCCCAAGCCAATCACAAACCACTCAGAGGCTGCTCTGATCCTGCCTGGGCACTCATCCCATGGACAGTCAGAGTCTAGCAGGATCAGTTGCACAGAGGGGGTGTCATAAGAAGGTAACCTCCCTCTTTTCCTCTCCTTCTCAGTCTCAAAATGACTCCTTAAAAGCACAGTTCTTTTCCTGAAGCTACACTGGTTACAGAATACTCTAAATCACAGTAGTCTTCTACTACAGTGGTGGGAGAAGCATCTGCCCATGTAAAGAGTTGAATTCAAACTGAAAATGCCTCTCCTTCCCTAACCTTTCAGAAAAACTCCCCACTCCATCTTCAAGGTGACTCTTGCTGCTCAAGGGCTAGATGGTGGGAGCACCAGAAACTTCAAAATTGCATTGTTCACTTTACTTGCCATCACCTGACAGGATTAAGGCGTTCTTCCTGCTTTTGCTTTCCCCCACACCCTGAACAAAATCCTCCTTTTCAACATGAGCAGATTCCCATGTTCTTCCTGAGAAAATTCACTTAGGTATGCTTGAAACTGTCAACTCTTCCATCCCTCCTTGCTCCTCCGCCTCATCCTCAGAACTGGACTAATCTATCTGAGTGGACTCAGATGTACCAGAGACAGGCCCCCTCTCTACAGGGGCACCGAACGATGCTACCGACTCCTCCTTGTGGTCCATTCCACCCATGTCCAGTTAGTGCTGCAGGGTTTAATCAGGCATGGTGCTAGACTCACCCTAAGAGACCCCAAAAACTTGATGTAGCCCACCTTGGAACCTTCCAATAGGGGAATGGAAAGATTGAAACTTACTCAGCACTTACTCCTACAAGAAACAGTATATAATTCTTGTATCAAGTACTCTGATCCCTTTGAACTGAAGGGTTTAAACAAGGACAATTAACACTCACCTTTATGAAATGTAAAGTTGCAGTAGGTTGTCATTAATTTATACATAACAAGATTAAAAAGAAACAATCACTTGAATTATGTCATTCTTTCCATCTGCCACCAGAATGATCACTGCAGTAACAGAAACTTTAAACAGAAATCTTTGAAGCAAAAACTTCTAACAACATAGAATGATCAGAAACCTGAAAATAACTTCTTCAGACAGCACAATCTAACAGCATGCCAGAACTAAACCACGTGGAAGTCAACTAACAGGACTTCTTTGCAGAGATGTGATATAAGGTTGCAGCCTAAGGACAGACTACTATTTTTAGGGCACAACCTTACACACAGACACACAGGCGCGCGCGCGCGCGCACACACACACACACAGAGAGAGAGAGAGAGAGAGAGAGAGAGAGAGAGAGAGAGAGAGCCCTACAATTCCCATCATTTTGTAGCCAACCTGGCTAGCTGAAGAAGACTAGGGGTTGTAGAATTTTTTCCTGTCTAAACTTGTATAGGATTGTGGCCTTAAAGAGCCATAAATCATGCAACCAAAAAGGGATCTGAACACAATAATTGAGTTTTTTGTCCTGATATTCTCCAGGACATTTGTGATCATAGGGAAGTCAGGATAATGCTTCATATGCCATCTGTTGCAGAAAAGATATCATCTCATGGGCCAGCCATTCTCAGAAGAAAATGGCTTGCAATTTAAATGGATTAATATACTTGATCAGGGATTTATGAATGACTGATGAAATCTGTATTACTTGTTGAAATTATCAGGTAGCCAGGTTTTTAGAGTGAAAACATGAGCTTAAAGGCTGGGAAATGGTCTGCAAAGCTGTAATCTCATAACACTTACTTCACTGGAGTTTATTTTTGAATGGATATATAGGATTACACTGTAAGAGTCTTAAGGACATTGACCACAGGGGAGAAAAAAGGAATGACTAGATTTCATCTAACAAGTGCTCAGACTTAAATCAATTAGATATGTCAGCTAAAACACAGACTGGTTGATCATTGCTGTTTAATGGGTAAGAGTCCTGATTGTGACCACAGATTGTGGTATTTCTGGTCCAGTCACAAGCTGTTATATATCAGCTGTCTGAACTTTCTACAGTGCAAACCTGCTCTTGGCTGAGAACACTAAGGATTACTGAAAAATCAGAGAATACCCAACTAACCCAAGGGAGAACTCTATGTACACATCGTCTCCCAACAGTGATGGAGCTATTGCTTGAATTCCCAACAGCTGTCTGTTTCAGGCAGTTGCCTCCATAATCCTTAGAAGGACACATAACACCTTTGAGAAGCCACTACCAGGAAGAGGGAGGCATTCTTCAACTAGTGAGGAGAAGCATGGAAGTAAACAGAATCAGAGGTTTCTGGGGAGACACCAATGCTGCCGTCTGGTCCAGAATTATTGGATGAATTTCAGTTATTGCGGCCCGATGATGTGGACAAGGTGCTTGGACGAGTACGTCCCACCACTTGCCTATTGGACCCTTGCCCGTCTTGGTTAATAAATAATTCCAAGCACGGGATTGGAATCTGGATCTTGGAAGTGGTTAACACTTCTCTGAGGGAGGGTCGGGTGCCTGCCCCTTTAAAGGAGGCAGTAGTCCAACCGGTCCTGAAGAAAGCGTCACTGGATCCAGAGATGGCCACTAACTATAGACCAGTGGCCAACATCCCGTTTCTGGGCAAGGTGTTAGAGCGGGTGGTGGTGGGACAACTCCAAGCACTCTTGGATGAAACTGATTATCTAGACCCATTTCAGTTCAGCTTCAGACCCGGGTACGGTACTGAATCTGCCTTGGTCGCCCTGTACGATGACCTGTGCAGGGAGAAGGACAGGGGGAGTGCGTCCCTGTTGGTTCTCCTGGACCTCTCAGCGGCTTTCGATACCATCAACCATGGTATCCTTCTGGATAGGCTAGCGGGATTGGGGGTTGGAGGCACTGCTTTGCAGTGGTTCCGCTCCTATCTCAATGGCCGATTCCAGAAGGTGGTGCTGGGGGACTATGGCTCTGCACCATGGCAGCTATGCCATGGAGTACCGCAGGGGTCCATTTTGTCCCCTTTGCTGTTTAACATCTACATGAAACCGCTGGGAGAGGTCATCAGGAGGTGTGGGCTGCGGAATCATCAGTACGCTGATGATATCCAGCTCTACCTCTCGTTTTCCACCAATCCAGGTGAGGCAGTGGCTGTACTGAACCGGTGCCTGGCCGAGGTAATGGGCTGGATGAGGGCCAATAAACTGAAGCTCAATCCAGACAAGACGGAGGTCCTGTTGGTTGGCGGATCGGGCCTTGGAGAGGGTGGACTTAACCTAGTCCTGAATGGGGTTGCACTCCCTTCTAGGGACAAGGTCCGCAGCTTGGAAGCTCAGGTGACAGTGGTGGCGAGGAGCGCTTTCCTTCAGCTTCGGCTGATTCATCAGCTGCACCCCTACCTGGAGTACGACTGCCTGGTGACAGTGACACACGCGCTGGTTATTATCGATGTACATTTGATGATTTGTGCAGGCTACCAGCCCATCCCTGAACCAAGTTCAAATTGCTGGTATTAACCCAAAAATCTCTGAAGGACCCTTCCCTCCATATACACCTGACAGGACCTTAAGACCACCCTCAGATGGCTAGTTCCTGGTGCTCCTGCCAAAGGCGTTGAGGCGTTGAGGCTTCTCACCTGGAACATATCCTGTGGTCTTTTTGGTTTAGTTTAGTTTAGTTTCCAGTGTTTTTACTTGTATAACATCTATTTTATTTTAAAACCCCTTTTATTTTCCAAGGTCTTTAACCCTTCAGTTTTGAAAACTGTATTGGTGCAGTTTTAAATATTTACATTTTTGTGACCTTTTATCTTGTTTCCTATTCTGGATTTATTTTGCTAAAATGCATTTTAAACATTTTAAATTATGCTTTACTGTGCTATTTCTGCTTTTAAATTCGTTTTGTGATCTGCCCAAAGAGCTTTGGCTAATGGAAGGTGCAGAAATGCAATTAAAATGAGTTGTATTTGCCATTACCCTACACAATATGGTTAACTACATCAACAGTTCAGCAAAACAAGGCCAATGTTCCATCTCATTTGTTTGTAGTTGGTGGACTGGGAGATATAAAAGTAACAATAAGAAATGAAAGACTAGGAGTCGCTAATAGCCTTCTCCTACATGAATTTGTACAATCTCTTCTGAAAGCCATCTAAATTGGTGGACCATCATAACATCATGTCATAACAAATTCTATAGCTTAATTATGAGCTGTGTGAAGTACTTCCTTTCATCTGTCGTGAATCTGCCACCAGTTCTAGTTCTATTGGAGAGGGAGAAAAATGTTCCCCTATTGTTTTTTCCATGCTGTGCATAATTTTGCACATCTCTACCATGCCTCTCCTTACTCACACTTTTTCCCCTCATCCTGTAACCCTTCTTCATACGAGCAGTTGCTTCAACACTTGGATTATTTTAGTTGCCCTTTTCTGCTTTATTTATTTATTTATTTATTTAAAACTTTTATATGCCGTCCTTTATGTATTTCATCTCAGGACGGCTTACAACATTAAAAACAGAATTCAATAAAACAATCAATCACAATATGATAAAACAAAACCAGTAAAAATAAATCAAAACAAAACAAAACAAAAGTGACTAATAAAACTATTAAAATACTAATTTTTAAAATAACGCTTAAATAAAAAGGTTTTGACCTGGCACTGAAAAGAATGTAGGTTCAGTGCCAGGCGAACTTCTCCAGGGAGTACATTCCACAATCTGGGTGCCATCGCAGAGAAGGCCCTACTCTGAGTAGATGTCCCTTTTACCTCCTTTAGGGGGGTTTCCTGGAGCAGGGCCTCTCCCACCAATCTTAAGGGACATGAGGGCATATACAGAAGGAGACATTCCTTCAGGTATCCTGGTCCCAAGCCATTTAGGGCTTTATAGGTCAAAATCAACTTGAACTGGGCCCAGACTTCAACTGGAAGCCAGTGGAGTTGGTAATGAACCAGCGTTATATGAGAATAACGGTTGGTCCCCATCAACAGTCTGGCCACTCTGCTTCGTACCAGCTGAATTACCCAGACTGTTTTCGAGGGCAGCCCCACGCGGAGCATGTTACAGTAATACAACTGGAAGGTTACCAGAGCATGAATCACCATTGCTAGGCAGTGCTCGTCCAGGTAAGAACACAGCTGATGGACCAGCTGAAGCTGTGGGGAAGCACTCCTCACCACCGCTGCCACCTGGGATTCCAGTGACAGCTCCAGGTCAAGGAGTACTCCCAAGCTGCAGACCCTGTCCTTTAGAGGGAGTGCTACCCCATCCAGAACAAAGTCAAAATCACTTTGGAACTGAATAGTATTTTCCACAACTGATATGCCTTTGCTCTGTTCTCTGCTTTCCTCAGAGATTTTCTACTCAAGGCTGATAATCCACTGTATCTACTTTCTCTTTTGCAGCAGAATTGAGATCTGAGTGCTAAGTAAGGAGCACTTCCTTTCCTGCCTTTCTGCTACATTACCACTAGATGGTGCTGTGCTATAGCAAAATAGCACCAATACACAAGTCCTTCTTTTGCTTTCAAAAATAGTACCCCTTTTTCCTTACCCTAAAAGAAAAACTGGAAAAGCACTCTGAAGAAGCAGAGTGGAGGATAACTTGTAAAGAACTGTAAGTAGGAATCAGAAGCACACAGTAAATGTGCTCATGTAGAAAAGCTCACATTTTCCTTCTTTAGTTTATTGATCTTGCTTGTCAGGGTTTGGAATATCTGCAGTGCTGGCCAGAACTGCCACCTTGGTCACTCTGACTCTTGATCACTGGGCTGGTGTCATCTTGTATTTCCCAGGCACCCCAACTGCCTCACTCCAGGGCCAGTCCCCACACCAGGCCTTTTTTGAAGCAAGCATCCCACTTATGGAACTCCCTCCATACAGATGTTTGATGAGGTCCTTCATGCATAGTTTTCAGCAAGCAATAAGCACATTCCTGCCTTGCTCACATTTGCTGGTGTTTAATAAGGGGCTGAAGCAAATTTTACCTTTTGGAAAGTTTTATTTACATGGGAATTAATCTTTTCCTATCATCTAAATTAATTGTCAGTATTTATTTTCTGAACCACTTTGAGGGGCTGATGGCTAAAAGGATGTCTTTAAATTTTGCAATAAACAAATAGAATAAAGTGTTCTGGATCCTCCTCACCTGGAGTCCCACAGCTCCCAAGTGACAATTCCAGCATCTCAGGTGTATTGCCTAGCTGGGCAGTGAGCCTGGCTATGGACTTCATGCATCCTGACTCTTGGCCTAGTGTTACACAAATGCAAATCTTGGCTGGAGGAGTACTTCTGAAGTGACCCAATTTGATATGCATATGGGAAGATCCACTGGGAGAAAGTTTGGCTTTATCTCACATGCAGAGAAATGAAATTACACAAACGTCACACCAATGTTTTTCCGAACAGTTGCATATCCACATACAAGAAGGCACTCTGTTCAGAAGACCTTAAAAACATAATTCATTTCCAGTCAGTTATTAGATGGATTAAATAATAACAAATAATTGTTTCCTTTAAAACTCAGTTTGTTCACTGCCTCACAGTTTAGAGGAACACATAAAACTAAGAAGGTAGTTTCTGCATACGCAAGTGAACTCTCCTGGAACATGGAAATCTATTAGCTTGTAAGCAGTGGTGGTGGAGATAATGTGTTAAGAAGCACAAAGAAAACCCATGTGACAAGGACCCATGACTTTCCAGCCCCATGGAATGTTGAGGGCACCACAGAATGTTGTGGCTGTCAGCAGAAAATGAAGGGGTGGCGAATTGATTAGCTGGCATCCCCACCAAGTACCCTGGGCAATAAGATCAGAGTCAAGGATATGTATGCCATGCAGTTAAAAATAAACAATGCTCCCTAGGCTATATGGGGGAGTGGAGGTGGCTTTCAGAAGGAAGGGAGAAAGGATGCCTTTGAACTTTCTCCTAGCAGGAGAAAGGTATAGCAGGAACAGGTTTCAGAAGGGTGGAAAGGAAAACAGATTTCCCCCCCCCCCCCCCACCCGCCCTACAGCCCTCTCCTGAAACTTGTCCTGATTGCCAAGTAGAAACCACAAGGCATCTTTTCTAGGTGAGTGGCAAAATACGAACTTGGAGATGAGCTCAGAATGCCAGATGCCTTCCTTGTTCCTACTCTATAGTGTGCGTGTGTAGACTTCAGAATCTTTTCCTGGTAGAAAATAATAATACTATTCACATGAACCATACTTCAGTGCAGGCTGGATCCCCACATGAAAACAGACAGTCTTCCCCAGCATACCTTCCAGATGCTTTGTACTGCAACTTCCAGCATTCCTGACAATCAGACAAGTTGCCTAAGGCTGATGGGAACTGAACTCCAAAAAACTAAGAGGCTACCAGGTTGAGGAAAGCTGATATGGGCAGCACTAGATTCTTCTCTGTGGTGATTCAGAAAATTAGTGCATTATTTCTGTGCTGTTTGTACACAAAGGACACGTTTCCATAGCTGACTGACCGCCTTCCTCTGTACACATCACATTAACCCCTGAAATCTTCTGAGGAGGCGTTATTGAAGATAGTTAGTTATCTGAAACTAATAGTGGGGCAACAGGTAGCAGCAGGTAAGTGGGCTCCAGAGGGTAACGGAAGCCACATTCTAGAACACCCTCCCACATATGATTGGACAGGTAGAATTTGTGGTGGACCTCAAGTACCTCTTGGAAATTCATTTTCCTGGCTTGTCTTTCAATGCTTTTTTGTAATGCCTTTAAGTTGTTTATGATTTTACATGGGTGCTAGAGTTGCTTTTAATATTATATATGTTTTTATGTGAACCATCTGGAGCTCCTAGCTGCTAAGTGACACAGAAGAATTCCCCCACATGATTTTTAATAATATTCAATAGAATATAAGGATTTCTAAGAGCTCTCCTGTGCTTGGATCTCTATCTATAAAAGACAGAAGGAAGGGATGGAGAAAGCCCTGTCTGAGACAAAGGGGCATGTGTTCGCCTCGTTCCTGCATCACTTGACTTTTTTCTTCTGGAGCTGATTCACACCATTATAGTCATCACTAGACAAATGCAACCTCACCTAAGAATATGATGTGTGGACCATCAACATGCAGGGATACCACCTTGGACCAAATGCTTTTCAACAGAGTTGGGGATTACATGAGCGGAGCTGGCTGATGCCGGGGGTCAGACTAGATGGCCCAGGAGGTGTCTTCTGACTCACTTTTTTTCTATGTTTTTATGTTTCTAGAGTTAGTCTGCCCATTCAATAGACAAATGTGGTGCTTAATTGCCAGAAAAGGGAATTTCAGGGATTAGATCTGTCTTCCTGAAAATGCTACCATCTGATCCAAAAGCTCTTCCCCTAAATCCCAATGCTAAAAATACTTTCTTTTGTTAAATGTTCTGCTAGCTAGAAAAATGCATTCTGCACTTGCTCTTTCATCTATTCTTACTTTATTCATTCCAGAATTTAGTTCTGAGGAAACTGTCATGAATTATGTCCTGATCAAGTCATGTAACTGAACAACCTTTTAACCAGGAATGAAGATGTGTTATGAGTTTGCTGAATGGAAGTCAATTATCTGCAGCACAAATGCAGGTGTCCTTCTGGTTATGAAAATGAGTATTTTCTTATGCTCTTACTTCTGCCTCTACATCATAAGAGACAAACCTATTGTTCGGAGTGAGAAGGATGATATTCCTTCTGGCTGTTTTGTGCTTTTTGGTCATTAAAGAATGCTTTGCAAGGAAAACAATATGTGGCTTTTGAATGAATGAAGGAGAAACCCTGGCTCACAACACCTATGTACTAAGCTCCACTGGTACTACAAGTACTCAGACCTGTAGCAGTACCAAAGCAATCAGTGGGCATTTATAGTCTTCCTTGCCAGTTTCTTTAGGGCATCTTTTACCTCTGTGTTCCTCAGGCTGTAGATCAGGGGGTTCAACATAGGGATGATAAGTGTGTAAAAGACTGAGACCTTTTTGTCCATGTCCATGGAGAACTTGGAGCTGGGCCGGAAGTACATGAAGAGGATGGTGCCATGGAACAGGGCAAAAGTGGACAAGTGAGAGGCACAGGTGGAAAATGCTTTGAGCCTTCCTTTTGAGGAACGCATCCTGACAATAGTCCTGATTATGAAGGCATAGGAGGTGACAACAGTCACAGTGTTGAAGACTTCAACCAAGGTGCCAAAGGTGAAGAGCAAAAGCTCATTGAGGGTTGTGTCTGAGCAGGCAAGGGCCATCAGGGCAGCCAGGTCACAGAAGAAATGGTTGATGGAGTTTTTCCCACAATACGACAGTCTCAAAGCAGCACAGGTGTGGATGAGAGAGCTCATGACCCCTCCAACATATGCACCAACAAGCAGCCAGGCACAGAATGGTTTGGACATGATAGCTGTGTAGAGCAACGGCTTGCAAATAGCCACATAGCGATCAATGGCCATGGCAGCCAAAATGAAGGCCTCTATATCAGTAAAAGCACAAAAGAAGAAAAACTGGACGATGCATCCACTGTAAGAGATGGTTTTCCTCTCCAGCAGCATCTTGGGGGCAACGGTTGACACTGTGCAGGCATCCATAAAGGAAAAGTGTCTCAGGAAAAGGTACATTGGGGTTTGGAGTTGAGGGCTGCTCCTGATCAGCACTACCATCACCATATTCCCTACTAAAGTCAAAAGATAGAGAACAAGGAATATCACAAAGACACCGGTCTGTAGCTTTGAATATTCCATAAAGCCTTGGAGAACGAACTCTGTCACCATGGTGCTATTCCTATCCATCATCTTCTGATCCATGAGTGCTCGGCTGATAACAACCTAGGAATTGTCTTGAGAGGGTATCATTCCACAGCTCCTCCAGAGTTAGCACCTGAAAAGGTCCTTGAGGATTGTCTATGATAAAGTATGGGCCATACTGGCCTGATTGTGAACCCCGCCTATTTGAAAAGCACAGGAATTGATGCTTAATAGTGTGTGACTATTTTCACAGTACACTGCAAGTCACATAACCTTTATAGTTTTCATCATTGCCAGTTGAAAAAGCCATTTGAGAAGATAAACCATGTACAGGTGAGAATGGGATATATCCTCTTCCGGTGTGCATTTATTTTTCAGTGTTATTTTAGGGACTCAGCAGTAAGGCATATCTCCATTCAAATGTAGCTTTTTTCTTCAAGCAACAGGAGCGTTCTGTTCAAAGAGAGTGGACCGTTTGATTCATTCACCGTGAGAAGAGCTCACAGTTTTGCATGCAGATATTCACTAAGTGGATTGAGCTATGCAGATTGCTTGCTACTTAGCAGAAGAGCATGCAAAATTAAAGGTTTTCACCATGAAGAAGCATTGCTCTGTTTTCAATAAGCAGGGAAATGCAAAGGAAGAAAAACAACCATCCGGTTCTAAACAATTTTATAATACAATATGAAAGAATACGAGCTGAGCAAAAGAAGCATTTAAGCACTTATGTTGTCATATGATCAACAGTGCTATAGGTAACTATGAAACAGTTCTCCAAGACTGGCAAATGGTGCAGGTCAAGATGGAGCAGTCCTGTTTGCAATTAAAAAGAAAGAGAAAAGGCTGAGATACTGAGGAAAACCCATGAGAACTTCATTCTCCTTGCCACAACCTCACAGCTCCAAAGTTCAGTGATTCCTGGGATGTGTGGAAATGAGAGAGGAACCAATAAGTGACCAGTTGTCTCATGTCAGTTCATGCCAGTATTTATTGCTTCCCTGTTTCACCCACTGTCAGCAGCTTTGCAGGAGTTCAGCAAACATAGGTGCCACCACCTGTTCCTCTAAAGTACTCTAGAACATGGGTGGGCACTTGTTCTGCATCAGCTCTCAGCAGTCCTGGCCATGGACTTCTGTCAATTCCAAACTTTTGGAGAACTTGCTTCTGCCAACCAGTCTTAGAGTAGTCTAGCTAATGTCTGCTGTAAGCTGGTGGGAACCCTAGAAAAATACAGATACCATCTGTTCATAATTACAGGAGCCAATGCAGGTGGAAAGTTTGACGTATTTAGAACCCACACATACACAGAGCCAGACCACCCTTTAATTCTTCTCCACATGCCTCTGCAGACTGCCTGTGTTTAAAAGCTGATGCAGTGTGGTGGCCAGAGCATTGGACTAGGACTATGGGGATTCAAGTTCAAATTCCTACCCAGCTGTGAAGCACACTGGGTGGTGCTCAGCCTGACAGCATCTCTTAGCCTAACATGCCTTCCCTACCTCCCAGGCTGGGCTCCTTAAGCTCATCATGCAATAAATAACAAAAGAAAGAGAACAGATCATGGAATAAAAGCTGGAAATGTTCTTCTTTTCACCTTCCTTCTGCCCTGCACTGTAAGAAGCTGCTTACATAAAGATGGGTGGCCCTGGGTCTGTGGCTGCCAGCCTTACCACATGCACAAATGGTGTCGCACCCGGCAGGGCCGTCTTAACGCATGGACCTGATGGGCACTTGCCCGTGGGCCCCATACTAATCTGTGTATGTTAACCCTTGGAAAATGGGAAAACTTCCAAAATTAACAGTAGTTGTAGTTGTGGTAGGGGCCCCAGTACACTGCTTTGCCCGGGGCCCATAATGCTGTTAAGACGGCCCTGGCTCCCGACTCTGTCAACTCACTCCCAGAAAGAAGGCAATGGCACCTTGTGGGGATCATCCCAGAGTGCAGGACACAGAATAACAGGCTCAAGTGACAGGAAGCCAGATTCTGGCCGGACTTCAGGAAATGCTCCTGACTGTGAGAGCAGCACGGCAGTGGAACCAATTCCTTAGGGAGGTTGTGGGCTCTCCCACGCTAGAGGCGGGCAAGAGGCAGTAGCTGGACGGCTTTAACTGGAGTCCTGCATTGAGCAGGACAGTTGGACTCGATGGCCTTCTCAGCCCCTTCCACCTCTACTGTTCTATGATTTCGTGATTCTATGTTACTTTTCAGCTTCCCAGTAAAGCATAGATATGTTTTTTGCCATAACAAAGTACAGTAACTTGAGATATGATCTCGTTCCTTGCAAGAACTCAGAAATATAAGGTTTACCTGTTACGAGAACACATTGCCAAGGCCGAAGCGTTACAGGGCTGGTGTCACCAGTTGGCATGGTTGGGCACCAGCCAAGAGCCAGTATGTCCCCCCCCCCCCCCAGAAGCCCACCGACCCTCTGGACTTGCCCCCGCTCTTCACCACTGCAGCCGGCTTCTTCTCCTGCCTCTCACTCTGGCCCAGACAAGGGGGCTGGTGAGACGCTCACTGTTTGCTCACTGGTTCTCTGAGAAAATAGCTTGACTGATGGAGAAGGGCCATTTGTATGCCTCGACCATACCCCACCCCCCACCCCCCAGAAAAACCTGGCACTGGTACTTTACTGCTGCTTCAGAAACAAGTGGGTATAGCAGCCAGTTTTAGATCTTGACAGTTCCCAGCAGGATTTGAATGATGCTTCACTCAGTTGGGGGTTAATTAAAGAGTACTCAGAGTTTCTCAAGAAGAACAGCATTTATATCTTGTGTAATTCCTTTAGGGTACAATCAAATATTTTCCAAGTAGATGTACATACATTTCCAAACTTGGAGGCTAACGTGCATCCAATGCACGGCGTACGGTGCAGTGGCCATAATCTCCACCACTGCCGCACCTTGTCTGTATATTTACTCTAGTTTTGAAGGACTTCGGAGCTGGACCTCCAAAGCAACCTAGAGCCCTTCCAAACAATGTTGAAAGACTATAGGATGTCACCCTTATGGGGTATGTGAATATCAAGGTGCTCTTCCACCATTACCAGAAGAATATACATGCATTCTTCCTTGCATTGTGTCATTTTATATTAAATGTTTGGTAGTTTAACACCATCTACAGTAAGCTTTTTGTCATGGGTTATGCCTCCACATGAGAATATCACCTCCTCAATTATATTTAATTGTTCCAAATGCTGCCGTATATAGACATCACTGTTGGAAGAAAATAGAAGGAAAAAGTATCTTGTGGAGATTCACTTAGAGCAAATGTGAGAACCCAAAAGCAATAGATAAAATATAGAATGTAATTTCAGATGTCACATCTTCCAAGATTCATCTTGAACTGTTAAACATAATATTACAGGTTTATCATGGTCTTCTAACATAACTTCAACAAAATTATTTCTCCCTCCTGATGCCACAACTTTTAAATCATTTGGGGACAGCACCGGTGCTTTATTCGTTTCTGTCAGTACAGTCCTTGCAGAATTAGGTTTGACAGCAACTAGGAAAGTGTAATGTACTGTTTCACCTCACCTTACAGTTTTCCCAAGCATTTTCTTGCTTGAAAAATTCCATTAATGGCAGTTCATGAACTGTGATAATGATTGGAATGTACTCTATAGCCATGTGCCTGTGCATCTAAGCCAGGGGTCCTCAAAACTTTTTCAACAGGGGCCTGTTGTAGGGCCGGGCTATAGTTTGAAAAAAAAAAAAGAAGAAGAATGAATTCCTATGCATACTGCACATTAAAAAATCAAATTTAAATAAATTTCAAAATTAATTAAAATAAAAATTAATTTAAAAATTAATTAACATTTTAAAAAATAATTAAAAACTAAAAAATGTTTGCTCTGCTTTCTCGGGCTGCAGCAGAAGCCCAAGATGATGCCACTCTGCCCACCGAAAGGAAGAGCACAACACGAGGGAGAGCCGTGAGGGCGCACTCACCTCGGTCGAGGCTGTCCCGGCTCCTCAACGCCACCCCACCTCCGAGCCGGAGGAAGGTCCCCTTGCAGGCGCTCGCCCGGCTCCAGGAGGGGAAGCAGGAGCAGGAGGCTGGAGAGGCAGGCGCGCGACGGCTTCCCCGGCCGGGGGAGGGCCGCAAAGAGGGAGGTAAGGGCTGCTTTCCGTGGGCCAAGGTGAGGGGAGGTGAGGGACAGGGCCACGGCCGGCTGAGCAGGGTGCCTCCCACCTCTCCCCGCCGCATCTGCTCCTGGGCTCAGCGAGGCAGCTGCGGTTTGCTCAGAGAAGGCCGCTGGGGAGGCGTGGGTGCCTCGACCCCGCTCCGCCTCGGCCTGTCTGCCCCCAGGCTCGGCAAGACAGCCACGTCTAGGCCCACAGCCCAGGGACGTGGCTCACATAATTAAAAATAGATTTTAAAGATGGACAAAGCCAGCTGCACAGAGGTTTTCAGGGGCTGTTGATCAGTGTCCCAGGTGGGCCAGATTGGGCCCC